AGGATTCCCCCTCCATTGGGATGTAGCAACAATTTGGGAGCACATGAAAGCAAAGGTTTGTAATAGAAACTCTGCAAACTTCAATATCCTATACACGGCAGACTGCTTACAGTTAAACAAACGGCAAAGAAGAAGGTGACAGGAGAACCAAGGCCACCAAACAAATGACTGGCAGGAAATACAGCCCAACCCCGGAGCCTTGCAGTTTCCCTTTCCGATCACTAACCTGCATGCCTAGGTCTGGATCTAGCATAAGTTTGATAAAGCATGTCAAACGCACTTACTGCATTTTGGGATGGGAAGGAGGAACACGTGTTTCTAGATATTCCAAAAATAGTAGGCTAGATGGCAAGGTGCTGCTTGTGAGGACGTGCCACCTGCATGGGGAGATGAACTTCTTATGCTATGCAAACACGTAGTGGCAGGGCTTTAGATGTTCATCCAGAGCTAACAGGACCTGGCTGAAGAAATTAAGGAATCAATGTAGGAAAACATTTTGTTTCAATTAAAGATATGCCTTGCTTGCACCAGTCCTTGGAAGAAGTTGTGCTGTGTCCCTGGCAAACCTTGTGTTCATGGGACCAGTCCCAAAGCTAAGTAGCTCAGCTCTAGTGGAGTTACCTGGGTCAAAGCATCCTCATCCACTGGAGCCACAAACATGCATTTTAGCTGGTGGAGTCTGCTGCACCCTGACATTAAAGGACTGGTTTACCAAAGTTCACAATATTTGTGACGAGTATCTCCGAGATCCAATTCACCAGGTATCGTGGACTTAATTCACCCACACAAGCCTAGCCCAGGATACCTCTGCACCCGGACTCTATGGATTGCCCAGGAACGCAGCCAGGTACAAGCAAGGTGGCACTTGCACCTGGCCCAGTCTGTGAAACAGAATCTCTCTCCAAGCCAGTGAGGGGAGATGCTCACCCAGCTGTGCTGCTGCGCTGTCTGGCAGTCCCCATCCTGCTCCACAGGGCGAGAGCAGCAGCCTTGCCCAGCCATGCTTGTCTCCCCGGCAGCCCAGAGCTCCCCACGCACAAACGACGTGGATTTCGTGTTGAGGGCAATGACAGAGAAAGGAAAAAAAAATGAACTCTGAATTTTTTATGCAAGGCTGCTCCCAATAGTATATAAGAGAATGACAAATCTTTCATTGCTGAGGTGGCGTAGCATAATTTTAATTATCCTTCAAATAAATACAATGCTTAGATTTACATTTTTCCGATTTAACAAGTTGTGAAATTTTTAAATCATCATCAAAGTTATTTTTTTTCAAGGTACATAAGAACACTATATAAAAATACTTCTTTAAATGAAACATTTAAAAACACATTATGAGATCTTTGAAATGCCATAGTCCTATTATATTTCATAATGCAAAAAGGTTAGCAGCACAGATATTTCAGCATTCTTTTTAATTGCATACATTCATTTAAATGTTTAGTTCTGATTTTTTTTTCCTCTTGGAAGTATTTCATTTTAGCTTTAAAGCCAGTGGACTGGCAAAAAAGCAATATAGAATGGAAATCAACTCTGGTATCATTATATTCACATCAAGTGTTTACCACTGAAGAGTGATTTACAATTTGTGTTTATACTGAATACAATAAAAATAAAACCAAACTGCACATATCATGTTTGACATTTTAAGTAACTTCTAGGCATCACTCACCTTTTTTTTTTCTCATTTGTTTTTCCTCTCCCCACCCCCAACCCCATTTTCAAAACCTTACAGTGATTTTGAGTGCATTGATTTTTGTTTGCTTTATCTGCTACCTCTCTTGCCCCAGTTTTGGGAAGACTTGCTAAATGCAGTTCCCACTGATTAGAAAAGAAGTTGTTAAAGCTCTGAGCTTCTAAAAAAAATAAAGTCCAGGATAATGCAGGACAATAAACTAAGGACCTGGGCAGCAGAAGCTGTTAGCCACTACTGAGAACATTGGTTATAAAGTCCCATTTTTTTCTCACATAGACACCCAAGACATGCTCAGAATTTCCTGAGAGTTTTGCCAAGAGATGAGAGGGTAATTAGACCCTTATTTATAGTGGTTTTATATCCCCAAATATGTGCTTTAATGATGTGCTTCAGTTCTCGTTTCAATGGAAGTAGCACGTACACAACATGTAGTCTCTCATCATGTATTTCTCTACAGATTTCTTAAACTCTTCTGACCGTGAAGAAAGGAGTTGTGTTTGACAGGCTGTGATTTACAGGACGTGTTCTGGAGACCTAGCCCTATACCCACCGTTCTGGATGGCAAGAAGGGAAAGAAACAAACCATTGGGGCATCAATAATTTTTAGTTCCATGTGCAAACCAATATGCTCCTTCCAAAACCAGACCAAATCAGTGAACCTCTGTTATTTGTCCACTATCTGCGAGAGTGTCTTCTCTACTCCTGCTCCTTCATGAGCCACAATAAGAAGGAACAAACAGACTATTTCCCAGCAAAAAATACTGCAGTGCCAGAACGCTGCCCTCTCTGTCCCACCTTGCAGGCACAAGTTAAGTTAGAGATATATGTGGATATCCATAAGTAGTGGACAGTCCATATGAGATCTGCACAAAATTGGATACGCAGTTCATTTTTTTTTAAATTAGTCTCTGTTCAGGTTGCTCTAACTCTCTGGATGGTGCCCTTCCTAGCCTACAGATGGACTAGCATCAAGAGAGGGCAGAGAAAGCTTTTGCCTACCTCAGGGCATCTCCTCTGCCACATGTGACTTCTTGCTTCTGCTTTAGAGACAAAAGTTTCCCACTACAGAACCAGGAAAGGAAATGTATTAGCAAGGCTATTCCTAATTTCAGAGGAGGACTAAAGACAGAAGCTCAAATTATAGATCGTAATATGACAACAAAGGAGCATCCCTATGGGCATCTGCCCCAAAAGCCATAGTAAAAGTTGGTTTTCATGGACACCTAGCAACAGCTGACCCAGCTTCTGCACGTGAGAACTGGAATGATTTGATCCCACGCAGCCCATAGAGATGCTCTCTCTGACCTTGCTGGATTTTCAGCTGGGCTCTGCTAGAGCACTGCTAAATACACCATATTTATTTTACATACTTAATTATCAACTTGATGTGCTAGAGGCAGGACTCAGACCTCTCATTAAAATACCTACACCTAAAATTTGGGTCAATCCTGGTTAAATTTAACCCAGTATGGTTGTATGTATCGGCTCTGTTGCAGCTGGCCTTACACAGAATTTGGCCCAAGTGGAAAGGCGACTGTTGTATGCACACCCAGGAGTGGGCCTGAATTTCTCTTACATTACTTGCCATCCTATTCTGTTACCTTATCAGCTGGTCTCTGCCTGTAGGGAAGAAAATGGTATCTAGGTCAATGTGTTCTTTCTTAATTGCATTAGCCATGTGCCTTAGACTTAGGCTTCCTCTTCTCCCAGCACTGTCTTTGGCTATTAACATGTGGCCTTTAAATATATTTCACTCTTAACAGTGTACTTAATCTGTCAGGTGAGATGGATAGAGTCTGGTTTAGGCAGACTAAGATGATCAGTGGAATGCTAATTACAAAATTCACATGGGTGGAGAGACCCCTTTTTATAAAGAAATGCAAGCCATTTTATATGCTACTTTTTATACTGAGTCCCCAAAAGCAGAGGAAAGAATTACATTTGTGTTCTGTGTATGATTATATTTATGTGTATGTGTATGATTATATATAATTATATTCTGAATACTTTTTTTTATTGCTGCAACATCTTTCGGAACTTTACAAATAGGATCATTTTCCCTTGGAAAAAAAAAATAATACAAGTAGTGGCTTTTGTCTTCCAAGGGGTTTTTGTTTTTGTTTAAACCTCATTTTATTAGCCTATTTTTTCCTCACATGATAGCAAAGATCAGAACAGAAGTGTGTTTCAAACTCACACCTGCACACATGTCTATATCTCCTGAAGCAGATTCAGCAAATGGAGAACTGCTTCTGGCTTGGAAATGGAAAATTGCTATATAAGTAATATGGCAAAGTCCAGCAGAAGGAGCTGCATTACTTTAACTAGGGGCATCAAAATCAAAAGACCTTTGAAAGATCTATATTCAGATGTAAAGAAAAATGCCTTCTCCCTGTTTATTTATTGAACACCACTGGATTCTACATGCTAGCCAAAATCCAGACAGCCAGCTGATAATGAATTATTGAATTCCAACACCAGCAGAGACTAGAAGTTTCCCTTGGCTAAGCTAAAGTTTTGAGTTTAACTTTATTCCCAAGGACATTCACTACATTTTGAGCAGGAAATAAATATCCTGAAACTATTCACTAACTGTTCAGCTTTGAAAGATAATATTTGCCCTGAATGCCTCAAGATTAGGGCCCTGTAAAATAACTTGTCAGAGGGCCTCAGCCCCATCCCTTGCGCTGTGCCCATCACCGCTCGGTCCAGGCGGCTGTGGGGTAGCGCTCCAGCAGCGCGTTCCTCAGCTGGGCTGTGTGGATCTTGTCTCTGGTCTCCACGGTGCAGGTGACCTGGGAAAAGAATTAGGAACATTCCTGACGGCATGGCAGCAATCTCAGACAAAGGCATTTCCAATGAAATCCTAAAATACACTCGTAAAAGCAAAATGATCAGTTCAACGTAAAAACTCTGGACCTCACATCCCCTGTCTACGCAGGTAAGAAAACTGACATTGCAGACATCTGGGGTTCTTCCAGCCCTTCTGCACCATCTTAAAACCAATCCTCTCCTGGCTCCTGGGCAAGTACTTGTCTACTGTTGGCTTCCCTGAAGTCATCCATTAGCAGCTTCTCTGCTCCGTTCCCCGGGGTACGTACGTGGTGCCGCTGCCACCCACCCACATACCTCTCACCTCACCCCATTTCCCACATTTCTGGGCAGTGTTTCTTCCATCCTTCAAGCTTTTTATGTTCTCCTCCTCTCTCATGGAATTATCCCCCAGTCCTTTATCATCTCTGCAGTGTTCTGGCTGGTTTCATCTACTGACACACCTGCTTGTTTTACTCTGATTTTTTGTTTGTTCATTGATTCACTTGTGGTTTTCTGTTACGGTAGTTCTGCTGCTAAATCAAACTAAACTCAGGCAAACCTAACCTTGACAGTTTTCTTTTTATTCTTCACTTGCCTCCACATGTGTTACTGACAAACCTGTCATGCAGCCACTGAAGACGATAACTTCAATGTCGTTCCTTCAATTGTTCCTTAATCTCTCTTCTCTACATACTTGCCTCTCTACAGCATCATTTGAAAATCTCAGCACTACCAAAGGTGAGGCACCAATGCAAAGGTGCAGCAGGAAAATTACGCTTCACAATTTTAGACTAACAACTTCCATCACTGCTGACCCTGCTGGAATTATCATAGACGACGAAAGTGCCACGTGGAAAAAAAGATCTCACAGAAACACGCAAATCTAGTGAGGAAGGGATCCAAGATGAGTCACAGTGCAACAACAGAGAGTTTATTGTAACCGGCAAATCTACAGAGAATAGAGGAAAAACTGGTCCTGGTAACCTTAAGGTGGACTTCCAGAGACAGATGCCCTGTATAGTGTACCTGTCAGAGCTGCATCCTTTACAGAAAGCAACACGGCAACAAAAGAAAATTGTCTCTGCTCAAACACGTTTATAAGGGTGCTTCTAAATAAGAACCTTGTGAATTCATATTTCTGGGAATGAGCTTAAAATAGCAATAAACCTTTAGCAAAACTGTTGAATGAGAAGATAAAACATTAACTCCAGGTTATTCTAAACAGCCATGAGCCCCATTAATTAGAAAGCTGGCTATAGCTTCTTAAATATCCATCATGAAATAAGCCACATTTCTGATCTGTTTTTGTAATTCTTCACCTCTGATCCTGAACATAGTGCTATCCTTGTTTGGTTCTTTCGAACACAAATTAGATGCTAATTTCTTTCTCCTCTGAAAAAGTGGGATTTAGTCTCAGGAGAAGGACAGTCACAAAAGACAGCTAATAACGAGGGAAGAGGAGCGAACATAAATATTGGGGAAATGTATCTAAAGGATATCTAGGCACCAAACTACCAAATACCCATTTATCCATTCCACATGTCTCATAAAGCCCCTAAAGCTTTGCAGTCATATCTTCAAGAGCACATACTCATCTCTCACTGAGTTACTTTCTGCTTAAAAAAAGCAAACTTTTTCCCCCTTCCACAGCAATCGTGGCTATTTTGTCCTGAGCAAATCAATTGCTGCGCTTGGAGCCAGCCTGGACTTGCCAGGTTCAGCTTTGAGCACTTGGCAGCAAGCAGTTGCTCTGCCCTGGGAGCAAGCATGGGAAAGCATTCTGAGTTACAGAGCCAACTATCCTCCTCTCTGCCCTTTTCTTTCACTAACGATTGAAGCCAGACAGACTTGGATAGATTGGAGCCAGAGAGCTTGTAAACAGTTTAGATAAATACTGTCTTTTTGTTCTGTGCATGCACAGCATCCAACACGTGATATGGCCACTGATAGGCTGCGGGGGATTATAAAAGTAATAACAGCAGCAATAATAAACAGCTCCAGAAATGTACCTGATCTCCCACACTTGTCAGCTAGAGGAAGAGAGAACATTTGCTCACAGCAGGAGCAAGCAGAGGCTCACACTACGCTTTAGAGCAGCTACAGATCCAAACAGCAAGGTTGGCAAGAATTTGCTTTCTTGCTCAGATTAAGCCAATTTGCACTGCAGTTTTACCTTCACAGAACTCCTCTCTCTTATTCGCTTCACCTGGGAAGTATGAATTACATGAGTATCCAACAGGGCAATCTTCACATGTATTGTAGGAGGCATATGAGGAGGAGATTTATCTAGGATGAAGGGTCACCTAAGTACTACTACCTACAGGAGGCTGCATGCCTACTGATGACAAACTAAAAGTGTTCCCAATTTGTCTTATTTAAGAACAAATAACAAAACACATTGCCTGACATTTCTTATGCTCCAGACAAGATAACCCATGACAACTAAAGAAAACTGTAAATTTGTTTCAAACCCATAAGCCTTCAGGACTAGACATAGGCTTTTTGATCCAGCAGAGCTCTCACTGACTGCAGGACATTCAAGACCAGGTTGGACGGGGCTCTGAGCAACCTGATCTAGTTAGTGGTGTCCCTGCTCACTGCGGGGGGGTTGGACTAGGTGACCTCTAGGGGTCCCTTCCAACCCAAAACATTCTATGACCATGTTTGCACAGCAGACCTTTCATTTCTGTGTATCAAAAACCCCCACAAAAACCACCACCACCACCAGAGTACATTTTATGCATTTTTCTCCTGCATATTATATCCTTTCTGGATTAAGAAATAATAATAATAATAAAAAAATTATCTGCCTCTGTAAGACTGTTAAAATAACCAGCCAGATGGATCTTTTACTGCATTTAGAGTTCCGCTCTCTGTGGCAGGAAAGACTGATTCCAGCCAAAGGGTTTAGTTAGCCTGTTGGGTTTCTTTATAGCAGGCCTACAAGTAATGGAAGACAGAACAGTCTTCACTGAATATTGATGTTTTGTGGGTTTTATTTAATAACCGGAAAAAAATGAGGGAGCAGGGCAAAGGCTGAAAAAAAGATAAAGGAAAAAATTGATCACAAGTTATTGCTCTGCGCAATACCAAAATCCAGATGCATAAATTAAAATATTCATAGGAATTAATTCAATTTCAGAGAGAGGAAAGTTCATAACTTCACAAAAGGAGGAAATTTGCAGAGTTCTCTGCTGAATCATTTGGGCAACAGCGGGCACCTCTGCTCCCCTTGAACTGCAAGTCTCATATGTGATCATGTTTTCCTAGATATTAAAAATTAATTTGGCATGCCTCTCAGCTCCCTGATGCCTGATGTTTGTAGGCTGTGTGTGCAAATAAAGGTATTGGGTAAACATGACGGGCCAGTGCTAGAGAGCAGAGGAAATGTGAGCAGCGTTGCTCAGGCAAAAGAGTTCAGCCTCTTGTGCTTTTCCAGGCTTCATGTAAAGATAGATCATAACCAGCTAGTGCAATTCCTTACGTCTCTGACTCATCCATTGAACCTTTGTATCCCACTTCTTTAATCCTAGAAATCATATTCACCACCGCCTTCTAAGCTGTTGGTCTCGAGGAGTCACATAACTTAATATTCATGATACGCCATGCTCAGCAACAGTTTGTTTGCATGAAAATCACCGGAGTTAGAAATGAAAACTTTATTTATATGTGCTGGTTTCAGTTCTATAAATAAAGCAAGGCTTTTAATTTCTATTAAAAAAATCAACAACCGGGCAATTTTCTGAATTATTCAGTAAACACCCAGTGCAGGTTACTGCACATTACAGATTATGGTTTGGGGATCAGCTGCCAGATAGTTCCCAAGGTCAGTGCAATGCAACACTTGAGAAAGAGCGTAACAGCTGCCACAGCCGTCACTTGGTTGTGCAACCTGGGCCCTTATCTTTTGGGATATTCTTGAGTTCAGGTTGGTGAGCACGAGCACGAACAAGTTGCCATCACATTATGTAAGGTAGGTAATAAGCCAACAACTCTACTCTTAGCCTCCCCAGAGTCAGGTTCTTATTTCTACAAGTGGGGCAGGCTAATCTGTACCTCATTAGTCTGCTGTGGAACGCCATTAAAGAAAACGACCAAATTCTTTTGGAGGGCCTCAGGAGAAATGTATTGCGGAACTTCCCACTCCAAGTGTTTCCATTTCGCACATGGGGAAGGGAAGCACGGAAACAGTGCCTTGCCCAAGGTCGTGCAGGAATAATAGCATCCTTCTCATAGCTGGACAGCTGCGGGCTCTTCTGTATTCTCTTCACAGGACAATAACATGGAATATGTTGGCAACTGGGGACTCTACTACAAAAATATTCTCCTCCAGCCTTTTACAAAATGCGAGTTGGCCCAAAGGAATTTATTCAAATTGACCCGAGCAGACTAAAATAATGTAATGAATTCTGGCCTGAGGTGAATACACTATATGGAAAAAACAGGCATTACACCACACAAAGTGAGCCAGGAAACCCAGCACCACTGGGACAATGGGTAATGTTATTGTAAAGAAAAAGAAACATTCGATTTATGAATTAGTATTTTGCTGCATAGTCAGAGGGAGAAGTAATGTGATGGATGTTCTTTTTACAGCTGGTCTCCTCTGAGTTATTTAAAACCACAGCAGAGTTAAGCTCCTGAGAGGTTTGAAGTGAACAGACCAGACAACCCCATAAAGTCAAACAGGACCCAGGTCAGAGGGAAAACTGCGACCGCGGCTGCTTCTCTGCAAAGCTGCTCGAGCAGCTCAAGACCTTGCAGGCTGCTGCTGCCCTGTTCCAGGACCCTCCTGTACTTCTCAGTTTGATTATGCTGCAGTTTCAGCAGTGAGAAGAAGGCTTTTCTAGAAACTTGATAAGCTCAAAGATATTTTTTTTTCCCAGTTGAGTTGCCTGAGTCCAAATATGAGACACTCATTAAGAAGGCAAGCTGCTGATCTATAGCAGAGCCTTGCCTGGCTTCATAGCAAAGACAGTTCTTACCTTATTAAGTCGCTTATTGATTTTGCTCATTGACTTCTCTCTGAGTCAATAATAATATGAAATTAAAGTGATTTAAATGGTTATAAAGAGGTTTACTGATGGAAGCAATTTAAGCGATAAATTGTCCCACATCGAATCTGAGGAATATTATTGATAAAGAATAGGGAAAGTTCACAGAAACAAGTTGTACCTTCCTCCCACAAACTGGGTAGTCCTTTAGACCTCTAGATCCAGTTAGCTGGTGATACTAGATTATTTTTTCCTTAGCTCTGATCTTTATTTCTGTCTAGATATTCCTGGTTATCTAACCTGTTTCAATAACTGTAAAATGTGAAGCTTACCAGGACTGGTTATTTGTATGATTTGCTAAGGGTTATCTATTGCAATATTGGGACTTCGGAAGTCATTTCCTAATTGCTCAAGTAAGAGTGAATTAGGGTGTAGTCCTCTGCAAGACAGAGATCCAGTATGAGCCACAAGGAAAGAGGATCTAAACCGGGGGTATGAGCAGGCGGTAGCCAAAAGAAACTCCCATATTGTTCAAAAAATGTGACCAGCGGATCCCACTGCACAAGGCACTTCATTAAGAATCAACTGAATCTAATGTAGCCATAATACTTTTTTTTTGTTTAATTAAAAAAATCTCTTCTTTTTGCCAGTAAAATGTTCCAAAAGTTGTTTTTCCTAAAGTGTAGTTTGAACACAAAGCTTCATTTTAGAAAGTCCTTACTACTCCTTGAAATCAGACTATCAGCAAGGGTCTTCCCATGGAGTGTTCCAAGTGTGCAGCAGATGAATAAACACTGACCCGCAAGGCATTTCGCTAGAAGGGGAAAAAAAAAAGCTCTATCTTTCTGGTAAGCAGTGACTAGAAGCCAAGTTTCTCTCCTTTGGAAATGAAGGGATAAATCTAAAAGGATGATTAAATACGGAGATGACAACCCTGACAGGACTGATTTAGTGTTTCAAATAAGCCACTACACTTACTGCACTGTTCCTCCAAACACTTCATCTATATCCGCAGTCAGAAGTGTGTACTAGAGTGGAGTGGGTATGGCTGTAATACCTTTCTTCTTATTGCCACCAACACATAATGGTTCTTGATCCAGATTTAAATGCATGCTTAATTTAATGTGCCGTGATTTACACCGATGAAAATGATAGAAAGTTCCTTGCAGGTCTGCTTTAGTAGCAAATGCTTAAAATGCTTTGCTGACGCAAGGCTTTGGCCCTTGCAAGGCAAAGAAAAAAGCAAAACCTCCCCCACACGTATTAGCTTTACATGTGCATTTTTCTATATCTAGTTAGAGCAAGCTTATTTCGATGCTTAAGGATATTTTACCCTTTTTGGTTACCCTTGTTTTAGCTCTCAGAGAAAAGCTTCATGATTCACTAGGTGTCAGCAGATAGAGCTGCATCCAAACTCACTGAGGTCTATAGATCTGGATCACTCCTTTATACTTCACATCTAACTATCCAATAACCTCTCCCAATAATCTCACCTGATTAAAAGCCATCATCCAAATCCAAAATCCAATTAAATTATTCAGGGATGCAAATTCCTCGCTTCAACCCTCTTGTACTACAACACTGTCAGATTCTTGAAGTGGACGGTCAGTGAAAATACAGTGTGTTTCAAGTGCAGACAAGAGCACATGGCACTTTTCCATTCAGGGACCGTATTTACAACAAATTCTGATAAAGTTGCCTCATTAGAAGACATTTAAGAGCAATAGAAAATTGTTTTAACATTCTCAATCAAAAACTAAGATTGGATTTTCATTTACTTAGTAGCACTACTAAAAACTACAAGCCTTGCTTCATAAAAACCACATTGAAAACTTTAGAAGAGTTACAGGGTTTGTCAAATGTAGCCTTCAGTAAAAGGGTTTTCAGAGCCAAGTTAGCTGCTGAATCAGAGGGATTTGTCTACCCCGTGCAGCGTCACGTTATCCAAACCAGTAAGCCAGGTTATTGTTACGGCATGCTGCGGAGCAATGCAGCTTTAGTCCCAGCCGCTTGAGAAAACTGATAATATCATGTTCTGAAAGACATTCATAAACTTCATTGTAGTCCTTTGCTATAGTCATCTTTAATCTAACCTATTCTTTATACCGCAAGTAAAAATACCGAGACGGTTTTTGCATCTAGGCGGGAAATTAGATTTAAATGCCAAAACTGAAGAACTTGCTCACTCAATAAATAGCATTACTGAATTCCAGTTATGAGCCTGTTTAGCAAAGATCCCTGATCTGTCTTCCACCTGCGATTTCACAAGCTAAGTCAGGTTGGACTCGGACAGCAGCAGCATGAAATCAGTGGAACCACACCTTTGCCAAACCGGTTGAAATAAGAGAAATGCCATAAGACAAATGATCCTTTTAAGAGATGCCATAAGCTGATAACACCTCCTCACTGTTACTGTATCAAAACCTCAACAAAAGAATAAGGATTTTGCTCTGTGCTCTTTGGGGATAAGGTACAAAACTGAGGCCCTAGTTAAAAATGAGGATTCCTTAAGGGTAAGGGTGTTCTCCACATCGCTTGAAGGCAAATTCACCTCCGACAATTACAGCCAGCCTACACAGCTGGCTCTTCGAGTTCTGCACCTGGGCTCCAGCACTTGCTCACCGCCGCGGGCACACCACCACGCACGTAAGGAAGGTTTGCCATAGTGACAGCTGGGGTGCTTCCCCCCGATGTGGCAACAGCAGGCAGAACAGGTCCTCTGTTATTGGCGTGCCTGCTAAGTGTTTGGTGAGGCAAGATGCTGCGTAACACAGAAGAAATCATCTGTCACACTGATCCCCAAATCACTGCGCACGCTCTGCTGGACTTCCTCCAAGTAGTCATGTAGAGATATAGGGAAACAGAATAAACGAGGGGAGGTCAGTACGGCCAGAGAAACTGAAACGGCGCCTGGTCTTACCTCAACAGTGAAGAGCTCAGATGTCACAAATGTGCGTTCTTGTTTGATATCCAAAACTCTAGATCAAATAAGGGATAAATCAGAGATCACAACAATCCTTTGTCATTGTAAAATAGTTTCTGTAAGTGTTTGGACAGTAACTATCTTTGCTGCTTTCTGTATTAGACGCTCTATGCTGCAAAGGTGCATTCACAGTGGAACAAAAATGAAGGAAATAAAAGCTTTTCTGAAACATAACAAGAAAAAACCCTTTGATATAATTAGTTGCTTACAGACTTGCTTTCAGAGAACATTTGGAAACACCTTCAAATCTTTAATAATCTTTGTGTAATTCTGTGATTATATTTCCCTACTATTAGCCTGATTTACCTTGCTTCTTCCCGAGCCAAAATCTCCAGCAGCTTTGAAATGTCTCCTGGGCAGTCAGAAAGCACAAGGGAAATTCTGCACACTCGGTTATCGAGGGTCAGGGCTCGAGCTATGCACTGTTGCAGCAAATGTAATTCCAAGTTCCCACTGCATAGAACAACTGCCACTCTGAAAACAGAGAGAAAAATAGGATTTGGGATTAGCACTTGTCTGTGCGAAGGAACCATGAATCGCAGACACTGTGTTCAATATCAGTTTAAGATCTGCTAGGAGAGCCCTTCGATAAATATGTACTGCATGTCAGAGGGGCTACTGGCTCTCAGCATCAGTTGTGGGCAGCCTAGAAGCTGGCTGCATTAGTTGGTCTGAAACGCTGTTTTCATTTTGCATTTCCTGGAGATTTTAGTTTTTGTTAGAGAGAATTAGCTGGAGAATTCTAGGTCTGTTTCAAATTTTTAAAATGTGACATCATTTTCCTCTGGAAGTTCTGAGTCTCAACCTCTTAATGGTTAGACAACGTGTATGTTTAAGGCTTTGTGTGACCATTAATTAAATCCATCTCAGCACTGCAAAATAGCATAGAAATGCTTGAAGAGCAAGTGAAGAGCCACATGGTTGGTCCGTGATTATCTCTCTCTTCAGAGTCAAACCTGACCTCTTTAAAACCCAACCTTTGCCTTTTCCCTTTTATTTTAGTTGTACTGGATTGAAATTTGTAGCTGCTCTGTATGTATTCTGTCCGCTTCTTCTGAAGAACTGCCTCAGCAATATTTTACCGCAAGATGCTGTGCATTGGAAATTTTATTTTATCTTGAGCGCATGTGTGTTTAAATACATTCTGGACTATGTCCTGAGCCAAGGCTCGATCCACTTAAGTACTGAGTACTCAAGCCCAGATGCAAGAAGGCACTTACCCACACGTTTAATGCTATGAACAAGGGTAATCCCGTTGATTATCTGGGCAGCAGTTCCCGGGGCTGGGAGGTAGGTGCCACTGAGCGACTGCAGAAGACAGCCTAGCTCCTGTCCCACCCCAGGTAGGGCTGATTTCCACAAGTGGAATGAGAGAAGGCAACAGGCTGACAAGAGCAGGCTGCTCTCCTGGCAGATGCGACCATGCCTGGTAGAGCTGCGTGCGACTGCCTTTCCCCCAACCATATGAGAATACAGGAAAATGACAAGATTTGTCAGGTCTCCAGGCTGACATTTGTCTTGTTCAGCGAGCGGTTTCTTCAGCCTGGAGTAGATGCCACAGACAAGCCCACTGCCAGTTCAGGGGTGGGAACTGCCTCCTCACTCATAAAACAAGCAGCTCCCCTCCATTTCCTGGGACCAAGGCGCTCAACCCCATGCTTTTGCCCCTGTTTGCAATAGCTGCCATACCTTTTACCCTTCAACTCAGGCAGCTTCCCTGCAACCAACGCTGCAAGCCCAATGGCCCCTTCTGCATCAACCGTGGCTCGTTCATACTCCAGCAACCTCAGTATCGAAATGAGGACATCCTCTTCCCTGAAGGCAAAAGACTTGTGTCAAAACAAAACAACACAGCTACCAAAAGCAAAACACAATACTTCTATGTATAACTGGATTTCTTCCATCCTTCCAGGTACAGACAACCCTGAGGTGGTATTACAGAAAGCCATGCTGCCGAGGGTGAATACACATCTCAGCCTTGTTATTAACTGAAAGACAGGATGGCATTTTTTTTTTACCAGAACCACCATGCTAGCTAAATCCTAGTGGTAAGTATATTCTGCCCGCTTGGCTTTTCCATGAAGATTGAGAAGAGCTTTGTCAAAGGCTGCCTTCAAGTGTTGCAAGACATACCAAGGACAAGTTTTACACCCAGAGTATGACCAGGTACTAGCAGCAGGTGAAGATTTGGCCAAAGGGCGTCTGGACAACGTTCTTAGTCATATGATTTAGTTTTAGGCAGTCCTGCAAGGAGCAGGGAGTTAGACTCGATGATCCTTTATGGATCTCTTCCAACCTGAGATATTCTGTGATATGTAGGATTGGATTCAGTGTCTTCAGTGCCTGTCTTGGAAGGAAATGCACCCCTCCATCACCATGCTCTCACGGCGTGTGCATGATGGCAACTCCTGCCAACCTGCTCCCCCCACTGTACCTGAAGAACCCCCATACCCTGATGGTACAGCACATTTTTCATATACAACAATGTTCACCCAGTATTATTCCTTTCACTGTTTTTCTTCACCTACCTCACAGCAACAACTTTATCCACAAGTTTCCCAGTCAGCTGCAAAGAATTGCTGCCAAAGCAAAGTCCGCTCACATCTGCAGATTTCAAAAGACAAAAATATGAAGCTGGCTGCTTTAGACAAGTTCAACATATTTTAGAGTCCTCTCTACTTTATGCCCTTAATGAGTGCAGCACACTGCTGTTATATGACCTTAAGTTGCTTGATTTTTTTATGTGACAAAAATGCATTTGGCAATGAAAGACCAAATCACAGGAAGCAGGAAGATTTTGCCATTTTGGACCCCTTTAAGAAAATTATGATTCTTCACTGGCATAGCTGTACTGCAAGAGCAATCCTGCAGTCCAGCGCTTTTCACTGTTCAATGAGGCTTGAAGGAGAGAAGAACCAAGCGTGGTGCTGGGTTTGTCAGCTACAACAGGACAGTGGGCAAAGGAGCGCAGAGACAGGCAGAGCTTGCTGGCAGAGTTAGGTTGTTTGTTTACAAAACTCCCATTTAACCCAAAGCTTCCAGAGACTGGAACATCAGGTAAACAGGATATTCCTACACTGCTTAACAGCTGAGGTTTTTTGAGCAGATGATAGGGAAACAACTGGATCATTTATAAACACCATTGTTCCGACAACAGTTTTGTGGGACTAAATATTTAAGCACTGCATTTTCCTGTCTTTTCACAAATTAGTCTTTTACACGAGAGCTTTCCCATTGGCTTCACTGGTTAAGATGCTGCTTGCAAGCATCATGGTCAGAGAAATACTCTCATATTTCTAAGTATTCAACTGAACATTTCACGTGCACTGAACATAGCGTTGTACCCCAGGGTGGTGGTAGGGGAAATGTGGCAGAAGTTGCTCTTACATCTTGAATTGAATTCTAACTCTTCAGAGATTTAATTTAAAATATATTTGAATGGTATGACTGAGAAAATAATAAGGCTGGAAAAATCAATTACAACTTTTATTTTACCTCCAGAAGAATAATCCATTTTCTTACCTCCGTAAAAGTGATGATTGCTGCAAGCCTGGTCTTCAGTTGGGTGGCCAGCCTTTAAGGATTGTTGCAATACAGGGAAACTTTCAGATTCAACCCCCTGGGGAAGACAAGTGTTGTCACTTTTTTCTTGATCTAATTATAACAAAGTCACCACCGAAGTGGACACGGAAAAAAGCTACACAAAATTTCCTCTGCAAATTAACAATTAATTTCAAATTGCATAATAACTCTGCTATCTCTAGACTTATCCTGTGGCTTATTTAGGGCCAAATTTTTCCTGTAAGAAGTTATTTCAAAACACAGAACTGGATTTCATTTGCTTTGGAGGAGTCTTCCCATATTTTTTTCTTAAATCCAGCCAAGCAGCCAAGGGACAGGAGGCTTCCCAGGCTCTCAGAGGCTCTTCTCCTAGGTGAAGCCACTGGGATCAGATAGTCCCTGTCCCCAGCACATGCAGTCTCTGCCAGTGCATCATGAGATACCAATGCAGTGTTATCACTAGATACCAGTGCCTTTTGAAAATAGCTGTGGCAAAAGTTGTCAAAATGCAACACTTTACAGGTGAAAGGAAACTTACAATTACAGAAATATGCGGGTTGAGGTGTTTGAGTGCAGCAGCCGACCCTGCCAGCAAGCCACAGTGGCCTCCTGCGGGAAAAATCACTGCGTCCAGCTTTGGCACCTGCTCGTACACCTCCAGCCCCACGGTCCCCAGGCCCGACAGGTAGACAGCACTGTCCTCCCTGCGGGAAGGAAGGGCACAGCTCAGCGGGGTCCACAGCTGTCAACGCAATCATAGTTCAGGCTACAACTTTGAAGATATCACTCAGCAGAAAAAGACTTATGTGAGAGTAGATCACCAGCACAACGAGGGGCAGAGGCGATACAACAGGACACCGCCACCAGAGAGACCATTGCCTGCTGTTACCTACTGGGAGAAAACCTGTGCTGTTGACAAACCCCTCAAACAGCCTTGGGGCTGAAGAGAACTTATCTCTGTTGTTACCAGTATCAGATGTTTACGGAGCTGGTGGGACAGAAGCCATGTTTCCACTGCCATCACTTCCCATAAATTTTAAACGCTGCGGTCCAAACTAAAAGCAAAGCCTCAAAAGGAAATCTCCTTCTCTTTATTTATAAGTGGAATTTAGTGTTTGTGATAAATGGGAATTTTTGTGAAATTTAAGCACTGCTTTCAACCTCACAAATACCAAACAGATTGCTACAGAGTTAAGTCTTTCCACAATCCAGGGCCAATATCTGATACCTTCACATTGCTCTGGAAGACTCTGGAAGGGTAAGAGAAGCATTCAGTCGTGCCAAAATACTCACTGGTAAAACACTTTCAGGCAAAATTTCATATAATGAGCAGAATAGGGACAAACAGAGTCAAAAGATTGAAGAAAAATCCACTGCACAGTCACACAGTTGACTTGGATCTATTTCTAAAAGCTGTTTTGCATTTTATTTAAAAGTTAATGTAGAATGATATATGAACAAAAAAAATACAAGACCTCTGTATGCCTGTATGCTATGGTTTTTTTTCTGGCAAACAGATAAGTAAATAGGATTATAGACCCAATGGCTTCACTTGATTCGCTTGAGCCAGGACGTTCGGGTACAAGGAAGCTCTGCTTTTGTTACTGTTCGACGTGCGCAGAGAGGCTCAGCACAGGAGCACAGAGTGCCTGCAAGGTGGAGGCCAAGGCCCTCTTGGGAGGTCACCTCACACATATGGCAAAGCACAGCAGATTCCTCAGGGGGAGGGTCTGTTTGGCTGTACACGAAAGGATGGGATGAATGAACTTTCACTCCTGTAGCACAGCTAAAGATGAAGGCAAGAAATCATAATGAGATGGGTAACTGAACCCTTGAATTTATTGTCTTTATCAAGATACAGAATGAGGTCTCTCCTCCCTCTTCTATGTGGCAAAATATATCACTGGTCTCCTGAAGAATTCTTCTGAAGCCTTATTCGCAAATAACATTCAGAAATGAGTTTGTGGAGTTACCCCTGCCATGGTTACATGGGAATCCATGGGGACCTGCAAAAATGACTGTGGACCTGGGATATTCAATTTATGAGTAAAAGTTCTGTAACAACTGAAAATTCTGGCCAAAGGAGACTGCTCTGGGCATGGAGATTTACTAGCAGTTTGATTGAATGTTTCAGATAATCACGTTTTCCTTGCTAACATCTAGTTAGAACACCAGTTCACTGATCAGCCTTCAGCTTTTTATAATAAAATGGGTTATTCTTTTTTCACTGCGATTGATTATTTTTGCTTTGTGAAAGAAAACACATTTCTTCCAGTACCATATGCCATTGAAGGAAAATCAAGGAAAAGGTCAGATAAATCTAAAGACTGTAGATTTACACAAGCATTTTTGAGCCAGAGCTAGAAATTTGGCTGTTTGCCTTCTGAAATGTGTGATACACCAGCAATCAAAGAGGGGCTGTCAGGCTTCAGTTTCCCAATGGAATTCTGACGTGGCAGCTAGCAGGCCCTGTTCCCCTCTGTTCCCCAAATAAAGGGCTCAAAAGCTGTCGGCTGGCCTTCCTGGAGTAAGAGACTAACCAGATTACAAATGACCAAGGGTCAGGTCTGATCCGTATTTGGATGTAGAGATACACAAGAAAAAAAATGGGCTCTCAAGGAAGGAAGGAAGGAAGGTGTGTAATTCAACTGTAGCACTCTTACCTCTCTGATTCACAAATCAATCTTTCTCACATCATCCCACAGGTACCATATTACTTACTGGCAATATTCACATTGCATTTATAATGAGGGCCTGAACATCTATAGTTATTAAAAATCCCATGTTACCTAAGCAGCAATTAGGTAGACTTAATGATTGAATTCCAACTTGAAAAATCACATTTCCTTCCTGGAGTTTCACAGGAAGTTGCAGTTGGATAAAAAGTGTCCTTCTTTTAATTGAACTCTTGCATGATCATTTTCATAACACAGTACTTTAATTGCACTCAAGAAATGGGAAGAACTGGCATTGACACACCCAGTTACGGGACATTACCCGTGCAGGTGAAACCAAAGCAAGTCACGTAATGCCTACTTCAGGAAGGAAAGAAGGAATCATTGGTTAAGGAGATCCAGAGATCAAATTGCTAGGGATTTTATGCAAGCTAGAATTAAACTGAAATACGATGACATTTCAGAAGTTCCATTCTGTTTTACAGGCAGCTTTGGTGAGTGATGATGAATGTGTCAGACACACATTGAAGAAGACTGGCTGTCCATGTACACATACATCTCGCCGGGAAAGCTCTCTCAGTCCACGCCTAATCTCAAGTGTTTCAGGCATCCTGTTATGAAAAGGCTCAGAACTGTAGTGGTGGGTTTGGGGGGGGTGTTTTCTATTTTTTTTTCTATTTTTTTTTTTTCTCCAGAGTGTGAAAAGTTGCATCTGCGAGGTTTTAATTAAACATAACAACAGATTGAATAATTCTGTCTTGTGTTACTTGCAACATGAAAGCTGAAATTAATCAGAGTGCTTTGATATTATTAATGGTAACGTGTACATCTAGAGTTCCTCAATGCTAGATGCTGAAGTCCTTCACATGCATTGTCCCTGGAGCTTCGAGAACCTGGAGAATATTTACCTTATGTAACATAAATAATTACCTGGGGAGGAGGGGAAGATTAAATGTGCAATTACAATAAAATAATCTAGTTCTTACGTGCAAATGTGATAGCTGATGCAAGCCACTTGAGAGTTAACACATCGACTGAAAAATGGCTGACAGAACTCTGGAAATCACAAAGTTACGGAAAGCTGTCGTTTTCAAAGAGAGCCCATGCGTCTCTCTTTAAAGGGGTTTAAAATTCAGTGGGATCTAGGGCACCTCATTCCCTTAGATTTCTTTGAAATTCTCAGTCTGGGCCAAGGTTGGGCCCACAGTGACACACAAGGGACACCAACCAGCCCCGTGGGTCACTTGCTGCCGGCAGAGCTAACAGTGCAGTTGAAGAGTACAGTTTTTAATATTACCTTCCTGATAAACCAACTGGGAAAGAAGGGAGGACTTCCTCCACTCTGCTGCTTCTGGGATCCTCTCTCCAAGCACCATTACTCGTTATTGCTCTGTTTAACGCAGTAGCGCCCGGGAGCCAAAGGGGAATGGGCACTCACTGCGGTGGGTGCTGTACAAACACAAAGTGGTCGATGAAGCCTGCACAGAGCTGGCGATGGGGAGGGAGAATAAAATTCCAACTCAGTGCCCCAGAGGGACCACTGGCTACCGCATGTTAATGATTCACTCCTCTGCGCTTTTGGAAATATTACTTGAAAAAAGGTAAGAAAAGAAAAGGAAGGGAAAGGCAAAAGGGACTGCAGAGAGAAAAATAAATAAAAGGCAAAATTGATCAGTTCTAAATATGTTTACCTGTCTTATCTTACTCTAATCATGTTTTTATTAGATTTGGCTTGTTCAGTGACCTCAAATAGTTCCAACTTAAATGTATACTCATCCTTAGCTAATTTAAATGGATGTGCGAAGTAGCCTCATAGTCGTCTTTTTTCAAGGCAGAATCCCAGTTTTGTCACTCACACCAGATAGGTGAGAATTTTACAGTATTAACCTCTTGCTCTACACTGTGCCACTGAAGATTAGCTTTTACCCAACTTACTCCAAACAGACAGATCAAAAATGAATGCTAGCCTTAATGCTTTCTGACAGGGTTCATCAAGAGTTAACATATATCCATTATCATATTAGCCCACCTAATTCCTAATCAAAATGTTTGCCTAATTTGGGAGAAGAGTGTTTCATTTTGGTTTCCATCCCTAACAGCTGCAGAAAGGTTCATGACCTGTGCCTGGGAATATGTAACTGTCCGTACTCTAGGTAACGGGAACATTTTTATGACCTATGATCAAATTTTAATGAAACAAATTGTTTTTACAGAGCTGTGCGAGTATCTAATCTAATCTTTCTAATCAGCCTGACTTTACACTTACTCTTCAAGGTAGAGGTAACCGTTCTCCTGTGCCAACCTTCTTGCGTGTGTCTGGGAATCCTTAGCTGTAGTGCCATAGGATATAACCATGGCACCGTACTCACGGCACATTTTCACTCTGGCCGGGGACGTGCTGGTTGACATGATGACAAACACTGGAATACGGAGCTCTGAGGCGTGGTAAGCAACAGCCATGGAAAAGTTACTGTCCGCAGCCACGATCACCCCCTTTCTTTGCTGATCCTAAAAAACAGGGTTGCTTATTGCACATTATGTACTGTCACAAAGTTGTCCCGTATGATCCTGGATCATTCTAATCATCTGACGTCCTTCTTTTCCTGTACCAGTTGATCGTGTTATGATATCATGATACAGTATACGCATGTCTGGTGTGATCTCAGGACTTAGACACAGAGCTAAGACAGCACAAGGTCAATCCCTGTCCCTGCACTCCTCTGGTTTCAATTCTTGTTCCATTGGAATTAGCTGCAAAATTCCAGCTGATCCCAGAAGAGCCGATATCTGACCCCTCAGAGCTGATATCACGTCCCTCTTCGCTGCCTGCGTGAAATTATTTCATTTCAGGTTTCCCTTTAATAGAAGGATTTATTCATATTACAAAAGTGCAGGAATAACCTCTGTTCCTGGGCTGCTCTATCACGCTAATTATAATTATTATTGCTGCAGACACTCAATAACCTCCTACGACAAGTGACAAACAAGCTATTAATGTAATGATACTGAAATTCATTACAAAATCAATTGGTGCTTTTCTCATCTCATTCAACAGATCCTTCTCACCACCCATTGCAACTCAATTTCATCATCACTTAGAGTTTGGTGGTTTCAACACACCAGAACCATAGTACGTATACAAACACTTTCACCTAAATGCCACAGAAAATGCCGATGTTTACATTTTGTGAATTTTTCTTTCAAATATTTTTAAGCATTTCACCAGCAGATCAGCCAAGCATAAATAAAGTAGTATTTTACATTCAGATACTTGCAGGCCCATCTATGTTGTTCAGCACAATGGTTCAAAGGGCAAGGAACACTGCAATTCCATGGGCATTACAGGTAAAATTATCTTTAATTTTGCTCTCTTTTTGTGAAGCAGAACTATTCTCTTTGCTTTTGAACACTGACATTTTGTTATACCTGAGGCAATGATGTCAGAAGGTAAAGTACACCTCGTTCCTTCACAGATCCCGTGTACTGGAGGAACTCTTTCTTCAGGTAGATGTCCATTCCATACTGCTTGGATAGCCTAGAATACTGGTGGATAGAGGTGTTATTATGGGGATGTATCTAAAATTAAGAAAAATCTTCCATGCCCCATCAGCTCCCTGGTGAGGCATGCATTCAACTATTAAGTATGAGCTCTAAAAAGTAAATTTCATAATCTGTTTCTTTAGAAAAATATGATAGCATGTTATTACCTACCAGATTCTTCTGGTTTATGAAAGTAATTTTCAAACTTAGAGCAGTGAAATATGTAGCCCATGCCATTATGAATTCTGAAAATAGCACTTTTTTTGGTCTTACTGTTCAAATACAGATATTAAAATATGTTTTTTCAATTATTTCAAAAATCGCCCTATGGTCTGACATTTTAGCACTTGCCAGAACTGGATATTGAATACCCCAAAAAATAAAGGTCATGTCCTAATAGGTACAAAAGCAGTTAGAAAATTCCTCCTTGAGTCCCATTATGACTCTGCTATGGTTTCTGCCACTGATTCACTACTGAATGTTGTCCATTTTGCATCCTAAGGCCACTCCAACATTAGTAAAGACATTTCTTATTTGAAGAATGACGGAAATAATAAAAAATATTTCCCAGGATGGCAAGCGTAAGCAGCAGTTGTTTGAAAATGCTCAGTGTTTGGACAGAAAGGATCCCTGAGCTGAGAGGAATTAGCAAGCACAGTACATGCAGTGTCCAAGTGCATGGGGTTTTTTAACAGCAAACTTTTATCAATTTTTATAGTAAGACATGCAAGACAGCAGGTATCCCCATATTAACTTCCTATTACCATATTATCTAAAACAAGAGTTTTAAACAAGATAACTTATGAATAGAGGTGCAGTAAGCCTGTGGGTTCCAGTTCCACAGACTTACTGCGTCTGTATTTCGTAACTGGCTCTGTTTCTTCCATTGGCTGCCAAAGCAAAGGAGGACCTGGGGATTTAGGGGATCAAGCCCTCATTTATGGTAAATCACAAAGAGATATAGATTAAAAGACAGCATGACAATATCCTTTAAATATTTATCTCAAAAAGTATCTGGCAGTGTCATGCACGTGGTGTATATAGCGTACATAGTAATATGCACCGACATTTTTCAGACTGTGGGACTTTCAAAGTAAATTTATATAATAAACTAAATGCTGAAATAATAGATACTTGCTCTAAGGTATACAATTAAACTAAACCTTTCAGAGGAGTGTTTCAAGGCTTTTTAGGGGATTTACAAGCATATGGTCAGCTCCTCACCCATAGGTGGGGCCAGATTCTCTGTTTTGCTTCTGAAAATCCTGCAATAGGAGCTACCACTTGCTGCTCCTTGGCAAATCTGGCTGCAGAACTGAAAGAATGGAAAGTGCTTAGTGCACTAATAGGATAATAGCCTCTATCCTAAACAGCCTAATCTATGGAAAATGCCTATGCAAAATAGAACACTAGGCAAGACACGCTACTTTACTGCTTCTTCACATACCATACTAGTGCTATCATTTTTGGTTTTGTAGAGAATCTTGGATTCTAGAGTGAGCAACAAGAAAAAGGATTTAAGGAGATGAATCCTGTGACTTTATAAGCTGCTATAAGTCTCCTACGTTTATGTATAGGTATCATTAAGTCACTCTTTACCACAGAGGTGGTGTGCTTCAGATTATTATTATTTTTCTTTCCTTTTGATACTCAATAGTTTAAGTCCTTAGGTTATCCTTTTCTGCTTCCTTTAACTGAGGCTTTTTTTCATGTAGCCTAAATATAGCAGTTACTTCTAACAAAGGAGGTGTCAGTGCTATTTTCAGTTGTACGTGACCTTGTAAGACTCATTGAACCAGCCTGCAAGTTTTCCCCTTTTGTCACCATGATCTTGTCTAAGGACTACGGATACGGTGTCTAACCAACAGCACACAGCACAGCTTCCATTTGGCACCCACAAAGCTAACACAAAACAACCTTTAAAGTTCCTGCATCAGTAACCAAACCAAGTGCGCAATTTAATGTAAATTTTGTGTTTTCCTATACTCACTACCGCTGTAACAGCTGTTACAATCATTCATGGCACCGTATCTCAGCTCCTGGCAAACACCTGCATAAGGATCCAGGACGCTCCATCTGTGGTCTTACCTGCAGATTAGGAATCACCCTGCAAAGTGTTTCTCCATTCAATTAACTGAGTGGGTTATAGTCACGCTCACTTGAGCAAATGTCTCGGAAACAGATGTCTCTGAAAGGGGCTCTTACCTCTCAGCAACGAGTTAAATCAAAGGTTATCTGTGTTTTTCCTGACACCACTCCGTGCTTTCAACAGTTTCCTTTTGAATCAGTGCATGAAACTTATACTAGTGACTTCTGTGGGAACATTGCTTTGAATAGCAACAGTCATGGGCTATTTTCACACTAAAACAAGTGGGGATATAGGTTTTCCACTATTCTGATCATGCAAAAAGCATAGTCCATAAAAACGGACTAAAGAAAGTTAGCCTGTTTAGCTTGGCACAGTAAATGCAGAAAGGGGATAAAACCACGTTGCATAAATCTGCCAGGGACACCCAAGCGAAAAGAACTATTTACATTGAGGGGCAAAGCTGCCTGAGAACAAATGGCGTGAACTGGCCAAAGAGACCTTAACTACTTGTGAGCAGGAGCACGATCAGTTTACAAAAAGTTTTGCGTTACACAGATTCCTGGGGGAGCAGCAGATGGGCTCAGTGGCGCAGTCTCGCCTTTTCCTGCATTAGGATGTGTTGAGAGCGAGGCCGTGGCGCAGGGGATGGGGCTGAGAGAGACTTTATTTGTTTGGCAGAAGCGCACAACGCCTTGAGCTGCAGGGAAGGGGTGACCTAGGCTATCAAAGGGTACGGAGCTAGCTAGTTCTGATTTCCAAATTAAGCCCTCTTCCTGCCCACAGACCTATCTAGATTAAACCCTTCTAACAACTATGACCAGAGTTAGAGAGAAGTGCAGTGCTCACTACCTGCAATATAAATGCAAATCTTCTCTTCCTGGGCCAGACTGTCCACAAAAGCAGAAGACTGACGCTTCCACCTAGAGCACTGACTCTGCTCTCAAGAGTGACAGTCTGAGAGTTCGGGTGACAAATGATGCAATGCGCAGAGTATGGCACGCTCCCCCTGTTTGCCCAGGCTCTGGCCCCCACCCACCCATGCTGCACACGTGTTTGCTCACTCCCCCTGCCACCATCCCGAACAAGCCAACTTTTCCACTCTGAAAGGAAATCCAAGTACAGCTGGCAGGGTGGTTTACCCATAAGTCACGCTGAACAGGCAGTACGTGAATGCAAAATGCACCCAGGTTGACTCCCTGCACTCTGACCAATGGTACCCTGCAAGTTTTTTGTGCCACCCTACAGCCCCAAATGGTCTTGTATCATGCCCTTTGCTACAAGACACACTTCTTCAGTAGTATGCTACAAAAAACCCACAGCTATCCTTATTTTGGGTACTCTAAGCTAAAAAAACCCCACCAAAAGTAATTAAGATGTCTCTGGATCAGCAGGTACCATCTGGGAACCAGGAGAACTGCTGCACCTTGCAGACCCAACCACTTTGCTCCAGGGACTGTTAACCGGTGAGGATGGCGGGGTGCCCCAGGCCAGCAACAGGGAGGGGTTCATCAGGAGACAGATTTGGAGCTGCTGCTAAGAATTGCCATTTGGCAAAGACACTCTTTTCTTCTTCACCAAAAGGGTCGTCAGGCTCTGGAATGGGCTGCCCAGGGAGGTGGTAGAGTCCTCATCCCTGGATGTATCTAAAAGAAGGATAGATGAGGTGCTTAGGGACATGGTTTAGTGGTGGGATGGCAGGGTTAGGTTAAAGGTTGGACTCGATGATCTCAAAGGTCTTTTCCAACCAAAGTGATTCTATGATTCTATGATTCACCCACTGCAGGGCAAAGAGGAGATTAGCCACAGTGTCTCCAATAGCCTTCATGAAGAGTCCCCAATAGTAGAAATACACTGCAAATTAAATAGCTTGCCATGGTACTTCTCTTACGCTTTAGCAAATGTTGTGCATTTATGGGAGTTTCTCAGTCATTTTCACACCTAGGCTGATCGATAGGTGCGTATGTTTGTGTGTGTATTATCTTAATGTCCTTGTTTTGTTGAAGATGCACGTGGCAGAACCACCTGGTTACAGAACTTATCCAGCTTTGCCAGGTTGGCCAGGCTAGGAAGGAAAATCTGTACCTTCAAACTCTCCAAATCTGAGGGTTAGTTCCAAACCAGACCCTCCCACAAGACTGCTTACCCAAACACTGACAGTCCACCATCTCCAACTCAGGTTCCTTGTAGCGAGAGTTTTTCACCCGGAACATAATACCACAGTGATTAAGTCTATGCCTAAAGTGGTTTATCCTTTGTTTACAGGTCACTGCAATCTTTGAGGACTTAGGTTAGTGTAAATAGGTAAGAAGAAAATGCTAATTGAGAGTTAACAACAACTAATATGTACATGAGTCATCCTACACAGATCTATCTGCTGCAATTCACACATACTTTTCGTTCATTTCTGATCAACTTTTATAAAGAAAATAAAAGAAATACTGAGAGAATGCAAAGCCATATAAACTCCCTACCATGCAGGGGGTTTTCTGAACACCGCACTGGATTTTGAAAGCTGCTGCACTAATATCTTCAAATCGAATCAGCTTGTTATAGCTTGACAGGCTGGTCCTACTGCTTGACTGAGGGATGCGGGAAACGGCATCCCTAAGTAACTCCTCATTACGGCTCACTATCTTCATTTCCCAGGTCTTCACATCCCCGTTCAGGTAATCCTCCTCACCAAAATCTTTCAGTCTCTCAGGGTTGATAGAGGGTGGCTTCTGCCCAATAAGGCCATTTCTTATCGGCCCATCCTTACAACCGTGAAGATCACAAAGTGCTGGGGCATCTTGTTTCTTTATTTTATTGTCATCCCTAAAAACAAATAGAAGAAACCTGTTAGGAAAGCTTGGATGATTAAAGGCTTGACATTTAGCATTTAAGAAGGATGCACATCTCAGTTGCTCTTTTGCAAGCCTCAAACAGGCAGACTGAATTATTGCTGTCATATTACCTTATCTTGTCGGTGGATTGAAAGTTAGTGTAACCAGCCAGCTTTCAGAAAAGCCACACGTAACCTGGCATGTGGACAAACTGGGAAACTGTCATACCCAAGAAAATAAGAACGATATAATCCATGATGTCTGGGCAGCCAGACCTTCTTCAGTACTCAGTCTCAATCTGCCCCGATCCCAGTTCAGTGCTTCCAGAAATTTTGGAACAACTGGGATTGTATTTGCTGCATGCAATTCCATGCTTTTCAAAAAAGGCAAATAGCTGCTGCAGAGCATTCCCTGATACTATGACCAGCAGTAACAAACGTCATCACACTGTACGCAAGAGGTCTGCTTCTCTGCTCTTGCATACTTGCAGAGCCTACTCTTGACAGTTGTCAGCTGCCTCGTGATGGGAAGGAAATTACTTTGATAAGGAGTAACAATTATATCCTACTACAGAGCTATAGAACTAGGTCTCCTGATCCAAGTTATTGCTTCATAGATAAAAACAACTGTAGAGAAGATGACACAGTGATGCCACACAGACCTCCTTCCCCAAGAAACTTTGGAGAGACAACACTGCTACAAAAATTTGCCGATTTTCCTCACCTTCAACTGCCTTTCTCTATGGTCTACAGTGTTCAGGAGTTCACAAGGGATAAATACACTGTAGTGCAGGAGTTTTCAGCCCTACTAACAAATAAATGCAAAACTTCTAGGAACTCCAAGAATTTGGAGAGTAATGTGGGGAAAAAGGAACATTCAGCAGAAGACGGTGATTTGGAAAAGAGCTATGATTACACAGATGGTATAAGACCCTCCACATGAATGACTCAATACTAATCTATTTGGAAGAAAGGGTTTTCTAAAAAACATACATGTTAAATTATGTCAGAGATTTCAGCATCATCTCAAAAAAAAATAAATTTGCCATTTTCATAAATAATTTGGATTTAAGTTACACCCAGCAGGGCTGGGTAAAGCGAATGTTGCCCTAGTTTTGCAGCAGGGATCAGCACTGTAATATGCATTGTAATAATTTCAAAAAAGAATTTTAAAGCATTTAGAAACAGCTGCTTTTTGAGCAATTGTCCCACTTTTGGCAGTATCATCCATTTTCTTCATGGTCCCCATAATCTGTGCCTGTAGTTCTGCTTCCTATTACGCTTCCAATTGTTCCACGGAGGACTTCACATAACAATATGGGCAACATAAAAGGTTTTGTTATTTGAATCAAGTTATGTACCAGTAACATCAACCTGCATATCCTCACAGGAGACAAAAAAGGACAAATTTTGTGGCAAGGTCTTCTCTTGCCGAAGTTAATGAGATCGACATTGATTTTCTAAGATAAATAAATAAAGTATTTACCCATTTGTAACTTGTTTATGTTGAAACTTGTGGTTTAAAATATGTTCCCAATACCATATCTTAAAGCTGATACCCCCAAACAGCAGGCATTCTGCCTTCAAATTAACTAGTTTATCAAGTGGCTCTATTCCGTACTTTTCTGCATTTCTGGTCCTTTGGGGTTAGAGGGTTGGAACACTTCATAAAGATGTTAAACTTGTGGTGTTAGTTCTCATGCGTATTAGCTAGCTTAATGCAAAGATGAGAATCAGATCAGCCTGTCTCCCCGTGAACTTGTTACAGCACAGCCCCTGGCATAAACAACAGCTAATATCATCGAAGAAGCCACATCACTGTTAGGAGTTCATTCCCTACATCCCCTCAAAAAAACCCCCCAACATTTTCCATATCACAGTATCCCACAGCCACTCCAAAAAGAGAAGAACATATACATCTTATCTCTAAACATATTATCTACAATGTTCAGCAAGCATTAGCAATGAATGATATTTCTTACACTGGCAATGGCTTAAAAGGGTATACGTAGGGTAAAATACATAGGTAGATAAAAAAATTGTGATTTTTCTAGGTCAAATTTTTTTTTACTGACTGGCCTTTGAGATAGGAGATGAATTCACTCTTTTTCCTTGCATCTGTGGCAATTCACTGCAAAAAGTCTATAAAAAACCCCAGCCAAAGATGACCACAAAAAGGCTATTGATGAACTAGGATTCTGCTAGAAAGGACAAACTACAGGGAATGCCACACCACACTGGTGCCATCAACTGTTATAATCTGCAAATAGAAAGACCAAAATGGGATATGGCTTTTTGACCCTACTCTTGGCTTTCCTTTTTTTTTGGCAGAACAGAGGAGGGAAGTAAATCAGATTCTCCATCCTCGATCTGCAGCACTGCTCTCATGAACGGTGAATATCTGCTCAGGACCCTGAAGGCAACATCTTAAGACCATTGGAAAAAGTCAACCAGCCGTAAAATATGCATAGGCTTTTCAAGCTTGAGATAGGTTCAAAGCACATCTGAAACATTACCATCCCAACATTTAATATGGAAACTATCATCCATCTGCATGTGAAAGGCCAGCAGCCTCATCACCAAAGGAATGTCATGCTATTGTATATGTATGTATGGTATACATTTATTTCAGATTAGTTTTTATTCCATTCTATGTACATATTTTTCATTTACATTACCAAATGACATTTTTCCCTATTCAACCCACCCGGCTGTGCCACAGACCCACTGAGAGCTCTCAAACTCCCAAGGCAAGCACTGGGTTGAGGTCTGATGATCCCTCACAAACAGGCAACTAATAACCCTGTTTGGTCACATGCATTGATCTCCTCAAACACAGTTCGTACGCTTGGCATGGTATTACCTCAGCATGAATTTCCTTTGCAGGAACAGTCAAAGCAGGCAGCAACACATGCAAGTGCTCCCAAAAAGACAGCATGTGACTTCTCATGCGCAGTGACAAAATACGGCCCCTCTTCCAGCGATCATGCCCACCAGAGGAAAATCTCAGCCAATATAAATACAAACCCCAGCATTACAAAACATTGCTCCTTTCAAATGGATCGCTTTTCCTTTTTTGGAGTTTGTCTGGGAAAGTTTTCATAAAAAAGTCTGTTTATTTCCATCCATAAAACAAATATCCAGCTGGCAAGCTTTGTTACATGGTTATAAATCACATTTTACCTTTAAAGTGATTAGTAAAACCAAACATGAAAATAGAGTTTAAAAACCTACTTTTTCAAGAACAGCTGCTCAGCATAACTGCAAAAAATAAAAGAGAAGATCCGTATGCAGACATTCCATGAATAATTAAGGAACTGGAAAAAATATCATTTGTTTAAGCAGATAGATTTACGTGGTTTAAAGTCTCAAAGCCAATGCAAAGACAGTGTGTGCTGAAATGTACTCTTAGAATGATAATAAACAACAACTATGAATGAATAATCTTTCTGTTTCCATTTTGGTTTTTTGAATATACTGATAATTTTGATCAAGTTAAGTAGCACCGAGGAAAAAAAGTTTGAAAAATAGTAATATTAATAAACTAAGAAATTAATAAAAACAACATAAATTATTTTTTATATATAAAAATATGTATACCTAAAGACCACAACTGTTGCCTTCATTACAAGGAGAAAGAAATGCCCACACAGTTATCCTGCAGCGATGGGACAATTGCACGCCCCCATCAGATGGAGCACGTGCAGATTGCCTTCCTCAGGATCCACGCAACAGGCTGAACAGATTAAACTGATATACTGGATCTTTTCAGATTCTAAAACTGAAGGAGCAAAAGAATCTACACAGTCACAGATGTCCAGGAAATGGCAAACTGGGAAGGATTAGTCGCTCTTTCTGCCAGTATAAATGTTGGTGGAAATCATATGGAAGTATCAGAAACTGTAAAGTTCCCTTCTTACAGAAAATAATTATCTCGGAAAACTCATTGCCACAGGATGCTATGAAGGACAATGGTAAAAACGGGTTCCTAAAAAACCTGCAACTATATGGAAGTAGGTCTAATCGTGACCAGTAAACACATAATTCAAGAAGCAATCTGTGATTCAGGAAGCCCCTAAGCCCTTACTGGGCAGGCTCCACAAAAGCATATGTGAGCAAGCTTCTTAGGTGGCTTTTGTCTTTCTCCAAGCTCCTGTAACTGGCCACCATGACAGAGAAGACACAGAGACAGCTGCTCTTTGGTCTGCCCCAGCGTTGCCGTTTTGATTTGCAGACGTACCCAATGTCAGCCCTTGGCCCGTTTGGCAGCTTTTACACCTCTTACCAAACGAGTCACAACAACGTGTTTTGAGGCAGAAACGAAGTTGGAATTATGGACATACATTCCCACGTTACTGTGCTGCTTCGCAAATAGGAATTCAAGTGTCAGAAAAGGAAATAAAGAAATTTTAATATAAGACTTAAAACTCATCATTTCTTTGTCATTTCTACAGCAGTTTTTATCATCTGCATTCAGAATAATACACCCTCACCACGAAGAGGGACCAACAGTATGGAACAAGTTCTGCAGAGTATTTTAGCATCCTTATAGGTCTATGCCATGACAAGAATTCCAAACTCCAATGCCTAACTCAGACTGATCAGCAGCATAGTGCAAACTGGCAAAGCGTTAAGCTCGAATATCGCTTCAAACCACCCCAGTGAATTTGGGGCTAGCCTGCAATTTACTCAGCAGCACCCATACACACATACGCATATGTTCTCTCTATGTAGATTTTTTTATTTTATTCTTTTTTAATGTTTTGGGGGCAGGGGGTTCTTAAGCTCATATCTATATGCTGCCCTCATCTTCAGTTCTCCCTGAACACCTTCTGGAGCACACCGAGCAACAGACGTCGGTCAGATACAGTTTTAGACATACTTACCTGCTTTCTGGATAAATGGGCTCAGATCTTATGCCTGCAAGTTCATAATACTACAGCAAATGGTGATCCCTGTAAAGTCACTGCTGTCTCATTCCTCAGTGTCGAGCAGAGAGGGGTCACCTACTGGGGGGTGCAGCAGGGGGAGCAGCCTGCTGGGTTTATGACTGAGATGTGACTAGGGCTGGGGGATCTCCTCTAAAAGGAGTGAGAAAGAGGTAATCCCAGGATATGAGAGAGGACCCTGTCCCTCACCCAAATCCCTTTTTTACCCAGAACCTCCCCAGTTCCATTAATCCTTCTTACCCCATGTCCCCAGTCCTGTCTCCTCTGACCCTTTTGGATGCCTGAGCCTTCCCCACCCCTCTGATACCTTCCCTATTTGTTGCAATCCTCTTTCCCAATAGCTCCTAAACATTCCTGTTCTATCCCAAGTCCTCTTTTACTTCCTGCCCCCCCTCCCAAACACATCCAAATGCTGCAATAGCCTTTATGAAAGAGAAACGATAGAAAAATTGAGGCTTGCAGAGATGCAAATGGCAAGAAGCATCATAAGAGATGTCACCTTCACTGCTAGTAATTCTAGGTTACTGCCGAGTGTCTGAGTGTCCTCTGCAGGACTAGAGGGTGACAAGTAAACTCCCCCAGGCATGGCGAAGGAACGCGCTAGATCTCTCTTTGACAATACAGTTCAAACAGACAATACTGCACTCAGACGTGACTTTCTCAAATTACCGTTATTTTGTATAACACTGGTACTTAGAAATAGCCCTTTGAGGCTGTATCACTCCAACAAGTGGCAATTACAGGACGGGCATCGAAAACGCATCTCTGACATTCAGTTACCCAAACCCCACACAACTTGTTCCTAAATCGCGCAGGAATCACCAACATCTTCCCTGAAAGAGGAAGACAAATTCAGTAAATATTTGCTCAACTTTATTGATAGAAACTGGGGCACAGACAGATCGAGCGACTTGCCTGAGACTGCCACAGGAAGTTCGTGGCAGGGCTGCTTATCAGAGTGTCTTAAAGAGAAAGAGATCAGGGCTTAGTTATCAGCCCGTGTGACACAAACGTTAGGGTATGTATGCACTGTGCCCATCCAGCACAGATAAGTACATAGCAACCAAGCCCTGAGATTGAGCAGGCATTTATAGCTCTACTCACCATTTACAGGTCTGACAAAACTGCGTGATGTTACACCAGCAACAAATGCAAAGAAAACTCAGGCTCATGCAGGGAACAACCAAGCTGCATTATCACTTCTGATAAAACATCTCCCTACTTCCAGTAAGTCAGATTTACCAGAGCCTGAGCCTAGTTCTATATCTGCCTTCATCTGTGGTCATAATCCATCGCCAGTCTTCTGTACGAGCTACTGTAATGTCATTGCTTACTGCTGGCAACAGCAGCTGGGTCTCAGCTGCTAAATAGAAACATGAGAAAAAGTAATCTGAAAGCAAGAACTCCTTGGAAGGTCACCCTTCCTGGTTACCTCTGCTTCAACGCCTTCCAAGCGTCCCTCAAACAGCCCCATCCCACACAGCAGTTCTTACAGGACATTCATGGCTGTGAACGTCAAATGGGCACTACCAAACACTGCACACAGTTTGGCAGTTAAAACTCTTAAAATAATTAAACTTTTTTCCTCTTTAAGTTAAACGCATTCTGAGTTTAGAGGTTCTCTGGTGATTAACACATCTCCATAATTCACTTGTAATAAAGAACAAATAGCATAACCCAATGGTCCTGTGAAGAAAGGACTGGTTTAAGATTCTCAGTTCAGTGCAGAACACGCCACATCACGTGTGACTTCGGGCAAGCCGTTTTTTCAATGCAGAACTGGGATCTTGTCTTCCCCTTTGGTGTTCCATGAGGGTTTATAAACGGTATCGAGCCAACTGAAACAATTTATGTTTTAAGTATTACCAACTTCTGCAACTATTGGCGGGGTGCAGGAAATGAGAACTGCCCCTTGTTTATACCACATCTGGCAACATCAGGTGGTGATCTTGCTAGAGCTGTCCAGATAATAAAACTGGGGGAGAAAACAATTATGGAAAAGGTTAAGAGCGAGGTTGTGCAAACACAAGCATGCCGTACGGGTGCACACCCCCAGCTGGTGCTGCACAAGGGCACAAGACGTCTCCTAAATTCCATCTGCACCATCCAAGCCTGAAAACAGGAATTCAAGATGACTGTAAGCACTATAACAAAGACAACTGCAGAACACCTGTAATAACAGGACCTGATACAGGCCACCCCAAGATAAATTTTCAGCAGTCTGTCAGCCCACCTAGGGTTATTTCTAATACTGTACTCATGAAGAAATAAAAAAGCTGAACTCCACAGGCTTAAAGTATGCAAATCTCCAGTGCTTCTGTTGGATGACTCCAAGAGCAACTCATCCCCACAGAACCCTGACAGAGATTGGAAAATTACAAACAATTTCTTTTTTTTTTTTTAGAAAGTAAGGAAAGGAAAAAGAAAGTATTACCTATACAGCACAGCGACTAAATAAACAACGAGGTGAAGCAAAACTCCAACTACGACACCGTAAGGAGGCAGGAGGGGTCCAGGGGTTGTCATGTCCGTGGGCCTGGCCCTGGGTGGACCCCGAGGGCTGACCATGACCCCTGAGGGGGAGAAAGGAGCACTCTAGCTCTAAGTCAGACAGCAATATTCTCCAACCTTTGCCAGAAAGGATCGTAGTCTTCATCTTCCCTGGAGTGGTCCCTGGGGCTTCTGTTTTTTAACACCCTGGAGTAGAGAAACTGCGCTGCAAAATTCATTGTAATTCCTGGTGCAAAGCAAAGCTGGGAGGCTGTGGGCAGGGGCCACACTTGCCTGAGAGAAGTGCCAGCCCTGCAGCGCCCGGGGGGGAGCAGCGGGCGACGTGCTGGAAGCCGCTCTCCAGCGCTTGCTGGGAGAGGGAAGCGCCTTTGAGAGAGACGGCTGCTGCTATTTAAAGAGATTATTTCAGAGGCCAACCTGTCCTTGTCAATTTGAGTCAGGGCCTGGATTATGCTTGGGTGACGCTCTGTTAGCAGGACACTTGAAGCTTTAGTTACTTACTGCTTAGCTGTGGAGCATGATCCAGACCTGCCGTAGGGCCCACGGTTTGATGGCATGCGCTGGGGTAGGCAGAGGCAGCGAGAAAGGGGTGCCTTTGTGGTGGTGGAGTCACCTGTAGGGATCCTTGAAGGCAGCCCCAAGGGACACCGGTCTTCGTGACCGAGACGCCAAGGAGATAGATCACTTTGTTCTCTTGGCACAAGTCTTTGTAGCAGAAAAACAGAGATATCCAGCTCATACAGTCAGAAAAGATCATCTAGGGAAAAGACTGCAGCAACAAATATAAAAATACCTCCATCTAAATCTGTTCCTCATTGCCCTGAGAGTGCGTTAGCACAGGCAGTGCCACATTTCCAGATGCAGAACGGCTGTGCAGTGGGGATGGGAGCAGGGGGTTCTTCTGTGGTTCCTCTCCTCTGGAATACAGCCTTGATGGAGTGCATGCTACAGGCTGCTTGGGGACCGACCAGGGTCCCTTTCCAGGTATCAGTGATCCCTCAGTACCCTCTGCTTTCTGCTGATAGAGTACAAAACCTTAACCTGCAGGACAGAGAACAGGCACATCGTAAAATTCTAACCCAAGCTGTGACCTAACCCTCCCCACAGAGTACCATGAGAACTATTATAATCTGCTTTATATGGGAGAGTCAGAGCAAATGGTCACACAGTCTGCTGGGATCTCTAGGAAACTCTGAGCCATGCTGACCACCATTTTTTTCTGTTTCTCCCACCCAACCCCCTTTATCCTTTGTCCGTTTCCAGGTGGTGGATGTGCAGGTTGTAGAGGTGGCACATGTTACTCGTGGCCACAACCTAGCAGCATGCTGCTGCCAGGAGTCAAGAGACAAAAATGCTGTCGGCTGCTGCCAGCACTTGCAGCTCTAAGCCAGAGTGAAGTTCAGGCCAACTTCACCGGTGCCTTGAAGCCCAGAGTGAAGGCAGATGGAGGTATTACTTTGCTCATAACACATCTGAAGTGCAATGGTGGGCAGGCATGGGAACTTAAAAGTAGTGAAAATCGCAATGGCTAGCTTTCACGTGTCTGGGAGTCCAGACCGACGAGCTCAAGTCTCAACGTGAATCCAGCTCCCCATAAATGAGGCCCTGATCTGTGACCGGCACTTGTAGTCCACACAAAACCAGTAAAGGATTTTTGGGAATGTTTGGCCAAGCAGTTGGAAACAAATTCACCAGGTTGTTTCAGGACAGAAGTACATGAAGCACTGAGATGCTGTCCTTCTAAAATACTGCCAAACAAGCAGCCTACTAGGGAAAAAGGGTATTTGGAAATTTCTGCTGCAGATTTAGGCCCACGTCAAACAGTCGTTCAAAGCCCTGACCTAAGTGTGTGCTGGAAACGCTGACTGTGCAGTGTCTTAGAAGGTACTGCACCACTTAATTGCTGCAAGTTAACTACGACCGTTTTCTGAGCTGCTTATTTCCTTAATGAGAGATAAACGGTTAAACACACACTATTATTAGATGTGTCTTCCTTTCATTCTTGCCTGTCAAACTTCATCGTCCTTACAAGCTTCTTACGCTTTGTCCGCCACTTCAGGTATCCACCTTCCCTGTCCGTGCACACCGAGAGGATGGCGTTCAGCAGTCCCACTTTCTTTTTCTAGAGCAAGTGGATTTTGTCACCTGTCACAGACACTGATTTTTTTAGTATCTGTGTGTCTTTGACTAAGACATCTCTCTCGGTTATTACTTGAATCCTTTAAATAGCTCAGCCACCTTCATCTAGGAAGTTAATCTGGTCTCCTACTTCTTCGTAATATCCTTCTCCAGGAAATTCTTATTTATTTCCTATGACTTTACTAACGCAATTATTAGTAGGAATTGGCAGATCTGCTGCTCCTGTCCAAGAACCAGAACTCTCCAGCAGAAGGCAATACTCCAGTAAACAACATTTTTTAGGGGCAGTCTCACATTGAACTCCTTATGCGGGGGATGAACCTAAGTACCTACTTTATGCTTTTTGATTGAAGGTTGAATACACTTGAATTAGATTAACCCATAGTGTAAAAGCTATTACAAGAATGGTCTGAGGGAACTTACAGCTTTTTCCTGGTTTCCTTGCCTTTTCAGACTTTTTTTCCAAGCAGAGCGCTGTGACTGTTAGAGGAGCTTTACAGCTGGCAAGGTGGGAGCAAACAGCAAAAGTCACAGCAGCAGGGTGTCACACAGCCTCCTTCCCACTGCCACTGAGAGCATCTGCTCAGGTGTGGGGAGGGAATTCAACCCCCATTCCTTACAGTGCAGCCTACTTCATTTACATCAAAAAGCACACTGGTCATGGTAGACCAGTTATGCATGGGAACTATTTGGCTATAAAGGCTACATCCTATTAGTGCTTTCCCCAATACTGTCTTCCGTCAATCCCTTTTTCAGACCACATCCCTCCGAATCAACTGGCTGCAAGGGCTTGTTGTCAGCTGCACTTGAAATTCCCAGGATGCCCACTCTGGTTTTGCACTTTTGCACATCAGCAAAAAACTTTTCTAGCCTACCATCTTTTAATAACAGATCCTGCAAACCTTGCACATATAATCTCACTCTTGGCTCTTAGCTTTGAAAAGCCAAATGCCTCTTAGAGCTAACAGACTGAAATGCGATATTTTCATTATATTTATTCATCTTGAATAGGAGCAAGCAGACCAAAACATATGGAGAATGAACAAGTTACCTAAGTATCTAGGCATTGGTCCACCAACTGCCATAGCCTATTTGGAGAGCCGTTATCTAACTTCCAAATAAGCCAAACTCTTCAAACAGCCTCTTCCCTACTTCTCTTAAACCATGACCTGGAATAATTTAATACAGCCACTTCCAAACCTGTTCACAGTGCTTCAAAAACCCACCACAACTACCGCAGGAAGGAAAAACTACCTTTCATCTTTGACTTTTTCCTTTTATATGAAGGGGGGAAGGATAGGTAGGGTGTAATTACATTGCTGGTATGGTCAAGTGAAACCCAACACAATTGCCATGAAACTGTCAAGGACGACACTAAGTTACAGGTCTTCCCCAGATCACTTTCCCCCTCGCCCCCCTCCAAATCTAGAGTTCCTTACCTTCTTCCACCTGCTTTTTGGTGGGTCCTAAGGGAAGGAAGCCAGCATCTCAGTGCTCTGTAGCTCTCTGAAGGTTTCAGTTACATCTTCCGTGCTGCCATCACTCGCGCTTTTTGTGTTTGTGCAAGAAATTGGTATCTGCACAGCTTTAGGCGTACATAACCAAGACCTCAGTAAAACCATCCTCTCTCAGGGGCACCGTATACATCTGAAATGGCAATTAGTGAGGAGTGTTTTCACTCACATCATCATACAATGTTATTATCTTGTACTTAGATAATTTTGAGTCCAAAGAAAAAAGAAACCAAACCCACTTTAATCAAGGGGCAGAATTGAAATTCAGTGCTCATGTGCTAGTGTGTAATATCAAGGATTAGGACTGGAAAGAAGAGGAAAATCCAAGTTTCAGAGTAACAGTTTTACACTTGTCATGTCGTATATGACTGCCTGCCTTCCTCCCTCAGCCCCTGGCACAAAAGCCATTAAACGATAGCACCACGTGGAAAGTAACAGTTGCTTCTTTCTCTAGAAAACTGTCTAAACAAGGTTCTGCTGCTTTTCCCCCAAACTGAAAAATAAAATAGGACCATTTTGCCATGAAAATAGTAAACAGTGCTTCATTCTCTTGTAACCAGAGAGAACTTGGTTTGGACAGCACTGGGAAAAATAGCTATTACCATTGTAAATAAAGACTTCACTGGATTACAGGACTCGAAAGATAGTTTTGAAGGGTTAGCCAAGTTTTTCCCCACACTAAATAAAATTAATAACATTTCCAACCTCAGTGAGAACAGCATGGGTGGGAAGCAAGAGTCTACCCAAAGTGGAGAATTCTTTGCAGAATTTGGTCAGCTGCAGAAGGCGAGAGAGTGGAGGCAGCCCGCAGTTAGGCCAAGAAAAACAATAGCAATTTTTCAGAGAACAGCAAAGCAGAAAACCAAAATGATAATTTAGGCTTATGCAATGCATCAATGCAAATGTGGTGGTAAACTGCTATAATAATTAGTATGGATAAATAAATATAGACAATTCAAAAAGAATCACAATTGAAAAAGAAAAAGAAAATGAAGGAAAAAGCTTCACATTTCCTTCTAATTTAGCATACTGATTTAACTTCCATCTCAGTTTCTGCATAAATCAATATTTATAGAGCAGACCAGAGTTTCAGCCCCCAATGTTTCTATTTGTCAGATAGCAGGTGACCCAGGTAGCAAAATGTCATCTTCCCATTTGTTCTCTTTATGGAGCTGAGAAAAGACTGAGAAGGTAGATTGGAATCAGGGGAAACAGATCTAGCTTTCTCACAGTATATTTTGTGGTGGCTGAGCAAAAGAACAGGCATCAATTCAAAGAGTGCATTTGCTGGCACAAGAGGCTGGAGGGAAGCCTGGGTGTGCTTTGTGTAAGGTTACTACGTGGGACAGACTGTATCTGCTCATCAGGTAAACATTTGGGAAGTACCTCATCCTTTGTGCAAGA